AAGGAGCTCTGGTAGTATAGTGGTTACAAATCGGGCTGTGAACCACAAGTTCAGCAGTTCGAAACTACCAGCTGTTCAGCGGGAGAAAGATGAGGCTTTCTGCTCCCATAAAGATTTACATCCTCGGAAATCCTGAACAGGGTCTCTATGAGTCAGAACCAACTCCATGGCACATAACAACCACAACAAAAGTGAATAGAGAGAAATACTGTTAACTGATGGTACATGGAGGTGATTACGATCATTGTAATGGGAAAAAAAAGTATATTCTGGGTACAAGTGTGTTATCTATATATATATTACTGTCTTCACCAAGTCTGTGGTTTGCCTGTTCAGTTTTTTAGCAATGTCTTTGGTAAGCAGAAATTTTAAATTTTGATGCAGTCTAATCTATTAAATTTTAGTTTTATGGTTTGTGGGGGAAAAAAAAAAAAAAGCCTTAGAGTATTATTGTTAAGGGCCATCTGGTTGGTTCAGACTCAGCGACCCTGTATAGGGTTTCGGAGTAGAAGCTAGTGGGTTTGAACTGCCAAACAACTGACCTTGTGGTTTACAGTTCAGTGCTTGTTTTACAATGCCACACCAGGAGTCCCAGTTGGGAAATATTTGTTATATTGTCAAGTGCTATGGAGTTGGTTCTGCCTCATAGAGACCCTGTACAGGGTTTTCAAGGCTTTAAATCTTTGTGATAAAGCCTTATCTTTCTTCCACAGAGCAGCTGGTGGTCTAGAACCATGGACCTTGTGTTTCATAGTTCAAGGCTTATCATATGGAGCCACTGAGTATAACCTGGAAAATTAGGTAGACTATCTTCCAGGGTGTGGTACTCTAGGACAAGCACCTGGCTGCTAACCATGAAGTTAGCGGTACAAACCCACCAATGGCTGCTTGGATACCCTATACAGAGTTGCTATGAGTTGAAATTGACTTCATGGCACCTAACAACATCTTCCAGGGGAAAAGGGTGACCTTTGTCCAATAAGGGACTCACATAGGAATGTCAGATTTGCAGAAGCAAAAATACTGCAGACCCCAAGAAAAGTAGACAAGAGAGCCATCAAGGCAAGCAATTACATCCCTTCAGGACAAACCCCCCCTCCAAGACTGAAATTGAAAGGGAACACATGAACAGGCATGTAAGCTTGCTGGTGATTATGTTGGTCTACTGCTGAGTGGAAGAGGGGGAAGAGCAGCAGTGAAGAAATGGGCTGAGTTGCATAGATATGTTCCATAGACTATGTTCCATAGACTATGTTCCATAGACTCCCATTGACCTAGAGATCAGAGAAAGAAGAGGAAGAGCTGGTCGGTCCTAAGTGTGGGTGAGACCTGGGGACTCCTTAGCCTATGAGCAAGGACATAGCCATGGAGGGTTAGAGCTGAGAGTGAAGCATCCAACTAATATGAAGTGAGGGGAGACACACAAGAATGCTCAAACTTGCAAATAGTACCCATTTGACCTAGACGACTTGATGATCAGAACTGGACTAGAGGAAGATAAAAATTTGTGTTTTTTTGATAAAGGAAACAAGTGTAAATTGCTACAATTTGATGAACTTGACTTATACTTATGGATGTGGTATCTCAAAATACCAACTGAGAGGAAAGGAGTCTTCACATCAAGTATCAATCTTGTCCCCTCTCTATACAGAGCTGATAGGGACAGGCAACTTAGACATTGGCTACCAAAAATGGGAGAGGGGGCAATAAAGGCACTAGCACAAAGTCACATGTTTTCAAGA